ACCACAGGCACCCCCAGGACCTCCAACGGAGACTCGCTATCCCACCCCTACCACCGTACCTTCTCCCCCCACTTCCACCACTTTGTGGAGCAGTGCCTTCAGCGCAACCCGGATGTAAGGTATTTCCGCTGAGCTGGGGTTGGGCTTTCCAGGGAGCAGGTGGGCTCTGGGGGTTAAGGGTTTGAGAGGGTGTATCTGTCCTGTAAGGGTCTGGGTTCCGGGGAGGAGTCCAAGCCCCCACAGCCAGAGGAGTCGGCCTGAGGGTTTGCTAAGAAGCCAGGCTGAGTAGCTCTGGCTGCTTTTCTGGCTGAGCTGAGGGATGAAGCAGAGGGCACTTGAGGGTGAGGTATAAGCAGCAGGACTTTGGAAATCTGGGGCACAGGGGTGATGCTGGTCTCTCTTCCCCTTTCTCTGCAGACCAAGTGCCAGCACCCTCCTGAGCCATTCTTTTTTCAAGCAGGTACAGTAGCACTTTGCTGAGGCTCCCCGTTTTCTTGCCTATGGTTCTGACTCCCCCAACACCCTTAGCTTTGGGGTCTAGGTATTCTCTCCTCCTTCCTTCGAATCAGAGAAATGACCATTTCTGAAGCCCCTTAAAGGTGCTGCTCCTTCCTCTTATAGAAGCTCTTGACTCAAAGGCCCATCTGTCATGGGGCCATGGTTCCTCGCTCAGGATGTCCTGGGACCAGAGCAGCAGGATCCACCACCCCCCCTTTCCCTCCCCCAGATCAAGCGACGAGCCTCAGAGGCTTTGCCTGAGTTACTTCGTCCTGTCACTCCCATCACCAGTTTTGAGGGCAGCCAGTCTCAGGGTCACAGTGGGATCTTCGGTCTAGTAACTAACCTGGAAGAGCTGGAGGTGGACGACTGGGAGTTCTGAGCCTCTGAAGAAGGTGCACATTTTCCAGCACGGGATGGACGTGTGAGCCTCCGGGGCCCTTCCTGAGGGCTGGCCACATTCCCACCCTCCGGGGTGCAGACTGGGTAGAAAGGACTTTTCTGCCAGGAGAGTTGCCTGCTTGCTGGTGGGGAAAGAAATTCCCGGAGAGAAACTTTTCTTTACTGCTCCAAGGCTTCTGAGACACCAACCAGGGATCCGGACCAGCCAGAAAGCGGATATTCCCAGTCCTGGGAGTTCAATGACCTCTTCAGAAGGAAGAGATGCTATCCTGGCCCTGGGGGCTGAAGTTCAAGTCCAGGGTTTGACTCATTGACACAGAGAACTGTGTGACTTCCTCTTCCCACTCATGCTCTCCTACCAGCCAAATTCCATTCTTTTCCAGTGTTGCCAGATGCTGCAGGCCCATGAAGAGGCCAGCAATAAGCACCCTGTGCCCCCTCCCCCCAGACCTCTCCCTAGTAATTGGGGGAAGGGTGTGATGCTCTTTTTAAGCACCAGGTCAAGGCTAGGGCAGTCTGTCTGACCCTTGTTGTCGTTGGGCCCTTCCTCCCTAGTTCATCTGTGTAGTGCATTCCTTTCCCACCGAGTCCATCCCACCGCCTCCTGCCGCTGCCTTGGTGCTTTCTCTTAAGGGTCCTAATGTCTTGCCTAGCCAGAGGGCGTAAGTCCTTACACCGTGTTCGTTTTATTGTCAGAACAAATTAAAATTTTCAGAGAACCCATTGGGGAGTGCATCGTTGTGTGTCGCCCATACAGGCTCAGACATGTATCATTCCACCCGGGGCCCTGCCATCCGAGAGCGGTGCCACAGGTGCTTACGGAAGCACAGCGGTGACCTTTCTTTAGCAGACAGCCTCACAGCACACCAATTCTTTCTTACAGCCAGAATAGATTTTTGTCTCTTAACTATCTGAAAATTACAGACTGTTCATTTTAGCCTGTGGCCATCCAAACACTTTGGGGCTGGAAAGGACTAGGTGCTAGAGACCAGCCCCCCTGAGGGTAGGACCACCAGGGGTCCAGACTAAGGACCTCACCTTTGGCAGGAAAGGAGGTGGAGGGGTTACTTTGTAACATGACTTGCGGTGTCTCCTTACCCCTGGAACTAATACCCAAAGAGCAGGTAACCCAAGAGCCAGCCCAGCCCCTGCCCTGTCATCCTGGCTGGCAGCCAGAGTGGCCGGGCCAGGGGGTGGTTCTAACCTGGGTTTTCATGGTGCTGCTCAGCCGGCACGTGCACCAGCCGGGCACCTCCCCCTGCAGCCCCTCAGGGGTGAGGTGCCCTGCACTGGGTGAGGCCCTTCAAATGGCAGATTAAGGAAGTGCCCCTCCCTCTTCCTTGAAGCCGCTTTGAAGCATCGAATGCTCTCCCTTTCCTCCGAAATGGTAACAACAGTTTTAAAAAGAAAAAACTCTCTTCCTTTGGCAGTTACAGGGGTGGATGTGAAGGAAGGACCCCAACCATGAGGTGGGGTGGGGAGGCCTGAGATGGAGTGTGGGAGGTCAGGGCACATTTATTTCCAACCCTCTCCCCTGACCAGCTCTTTATTTCTTCTTTAAACCTCAAGTTCCCCTTTCCTAACATCATTATCAGCTGGTTTTCTTTGTAAACTGCTTTCTTCACCTGGCTTGTCAGCTCATTCTTAAGCCAAACTGCTGACTCCTGCAGCTCAGCCCACAGATTGGACCTGGGCAGGGCCAGGGGGCCGCGGGGTCAAGCCTGACCTTCCCCCCGAGCAGCCAGCCCTGCGCCTGACGTCCCGAGGGCTTCACCCTTTTTAAATCATTACGGCCCGGCCCCCTTTGAGAACCGATGGCAGGAAACCTGGCCCGGAAAGATACACAGAAGCAGGTTTAGAAGTTTCTTCCCCATCCAGGGAGTCCTCAGGCCTGCAGCTCAACCCAAACACAACCCTCCGGGGAGGAACGGGCCGCCGAGTGAGCCAGGGAGCAGCCGGGGCCGGGGACGCCCGCTGCCTCGCCCTCCCTGCCAGGTGCGGGGCTGCGTGTGCGGCCGCGTGGGGACGGGCCGTTTAGGGCTGTGCTTCGTGAAACCGCGTCCCGCCTGGTGTCAGGCAGAGCCCTGCAGTCCCTGTGCCCGCAGGCCCCCGCCTCCCAGCACAGGTCTCCGCACAGCGGAGGGTCCCCTACCTCTGGGTGCCGGCTTCGGACCTGGCCGGGGCTGGGCAGGGGTCCGCCGGGGCCGGGCCGGAGGCAGGGTGTGAGAGCCGGGCCAGGCCTGGCCTCCCCGCTGCCTCACCAGCTGTGACTCGGAACAAGTCACCTGCAAACCTGCAGGCCTCGCTCCCGTGCGTTCAGTGAGGTTCGGGTGCGCGAG